TCAATCAATAAGGAGTGTCATGGTTATTGCCCCCTCGAACCCGACTGGCTCAGAATACTGGTGAATTCACTTTCATCAGCATCTAGGCTGACCCACAAACGTCCGTTGACAGTCCCTCATTAACATAGTTGTTTTCGCCTTGGATATTGGCCTGCAAGTGACCTCAAGTCGGAGCAGATCCACACTAACGCGAAGGAAGTAACCTGCTGCACAAAACACACTCATTTTGAGTGCTTCTTGTTATTTGCCTGCCTAGGAAGACCCAAACCAGAGTTATTTAAGTAAGGCAGCCAAATTTCTTTGGTCAGACTTGTTAGTTCCGTTTGCTCAGTGGAACTCATGTCCAACGTTGCCCTCTGGTTTGAATCTCATTTTGGCTGGCGGCTCGACTGGATGACTACTTGTGCATGGTATTTTACCCTTCGTAATCTACGACAACCAGCCTCATCTGCTTGCTTGTGTTGTCTGGGTGCGGGCTTTACGTCCAGCGGTGGAGATAGCTTGTCAGGTTGCTGATTGACAGAAAAGCAGGCTTTCCATAACCTCTAAATTTCCCTCTTACTCCCAGCCATCACTGTCTGAATTTTGTGTCCTTTTCGTCACGGCTTAACTCTTCCAGTTCTCAGATTTTGCCCTTAGCGTTGGTTGTTTTGCTACTATGCCATCTTCTTTCAACTCAACTCTGTTGTCTTCATCCTTCTTAGGTGGAACACTCACGACTGAAGAGGCTCTCTAGACGCCTAAGCCAGGCCCTAACCCTGCTCAACCTGCTCGATGGAGGCATCCCCCTGGATCCGAGCCTCTTGCCTCTTAGACGCCCTCATCCGGTAGGACTCACGTTATCGCGGAGTCTGCCTAGCCTTTCAATCGAGGAAGCGCGCTGTGCTGGTCGACTTCGAGACCAATTAACTCAACTCGCGGCCATTGTGCATGCCACCTGGCTGCGCCAACTCGAGCTCCGTGAGATCCTAAAAGCCCGTGTGGCCCAGCAGCTCGTGATTTCGGGGTCGAGGGTAATGGTAGGTACTTTTAATCATGACCTGAACACTCCGCCCCCCACGTGAGTCCAGGGACTCGCACAAGGCGACTGAGAATGCACGAGAGCTTGAAAATGGAAGAGTGAACGTGAAGAAGAGCCACCGTTCTTCAGTTTCACTTAGTGTGCCTCCTGCTAATAGTACTGTCTGTAACAGCGGCAAAGTACGCTAATTATCTGGCACGCGCTTAACTTCGCCTCGGAACGACGTATTTTCACCCTACACAGGGCGTCTCATTTATCACCTACCAAACTTGTAGATGAAACCAAATACGCTCTTAAAACATCATTCAATATCAAAAAGTATTTATTTACGAAAGGGGGCTTGGAGATGTAACAGCCGTTCAGTCAACCACAATGAGGTAGTGTCAATGTGAACCCCAGACGGATATACGAAAAGCGGTGGTCCGGATTCAAGCATCAACGTCAAGCTATGTATCCGAATTCGTAAAAGCTGCCTGTATTTAGGTATAAATAGGAACATTCAGTATATAGTGGCCTGTCCACACTGCCTTTAAGCTCTTACGTACGCACGGTGTCGGCTGAACATAAACCCATCGCTCTGAAGTGACAGTAGCCTAAGTGAACATCGACGGGCGGCAGACGATGATCTACCGGTTGTTGGAACGTATACTATGGGCTTATTTATTGACTATGACCATGATAGTGAGGGTAGCAGAGTGAGACATTCGTATTAGTGCCTGTCTTGCTGCATAGTTTGGGAGCGAGTGAAGTGCGTTACTGTTGAGCACTGTCGCCAGGGCTTTGGAAGTTAGAAGTTGCCTCACACAACTCCCGGTTCGGATCTGGAAGGCAGTAAATTTGAAAGCATTCCAGGAATAGGTCCTCAGTGGCCCCGTTCGAATTCCCTGTCTCGCGTGATCATTCTCGTCAGGGCTAACAGTATCAGTGCCCGACTCAATGGGAGCCGTCACCTTCGAATCGAACAACTGCAAGAAACCGCTTTGATGCAAAACTACCGACTACGAATTGGAAGAAAAGTTTCGTCGTGCAGGGGTGGCGAATAGTGAAACGGTCTTCGGCGAGAAATAATTTGGCCCTTGAGTCTGACACCTGCTTTATGCCACCACACCCCGGGCATGTACTGCAGATTTACACTGCGTGAACTGGATTGATAGATCAAAAGCAATCATTTGGTATTAGAATGTTGAAATGGGCGAGCTTTCCTCGACTATCGGGGAGCGACCGAAGTCTGACGACGCGCCGTGTTCATCAGTA